AACAGATGTAGGCGTTACTGGTACGAAAACAAACGCAGAGCGCAAAGCGGCAGTGTAGAGTATCCAGCCGCGCCGACACAGTGGCAGGCATGATCGGGAGACTAAATTTCTCGCGTCGTACGGCACGGGTCCATCTTTGTCGCTGTCCCACAAAACATCGTGAGGTGAAAAACTGTGAAACTTTGTCCCTGCGAGATACGAAGCATAACTATTGAAGCACTTAATGACGCAGCACAGGCAGCACTTCATGCTGTGAACCCATCGCAACCGCACCGCTCAGACTTCAGTGCGTACCAACGTACGCGGCGTGGTTTCGGTTTCGTTTCTCCGAGGTTCTCACTGCCTACCTTCGGTACCGGCCGCGCGGCGGCGCGCCAGTCGTGTCGCACGGAGTGTAGAGTGAAGTGCAGCGTATATTCTTCTTGAGCGGTGAGAGGGCAAGAAAGCGATGAAAAAAGCCTAATACGTACAATTCCAATGGGTCGTTCCAAAGAACGGAGAGTACCGTGTGGAGGCAGACAAAACAGCAATAGTGGCTTTTAGCAGACGGTTACCGTGTTACGCGTAACGCACTGCAGGAGTCCTTGAAGCATTATTTTAAGATCGCGCCAGGGTGATACTGTGACCGCAGTGTGCGCACTTAGATGCGTGCTTCCATTGGGCTCAACTTGTATTTGAGCAACTTAAACATTCGTCGTGTCCGTCAAATTTCGAAGCTCCGAATGGTAGGAAAGTATAGATGTCTGTTACCTTCGAGCTTAAACTATAACTTTTTTTTAATATTAGAAAATGCAGAATTGCATCTTCCGGAAACGGCTATAGAAAGTAATATATATATATATATATACACACATACATACCAATACTTGTGCGCATGCCTCTTCAATGTATCTGTATCAACGCATGTGTATAAAAAAAGGGCTTCCTTATTTAGTTAATATGTGGGTATCTTTTACGTTTCTGTACCTTTTGTGCTTATATTAATACGGAATGAACGGCGAGATGTAGCCACCCTACGGTTGTTGGCTCAGGTGATTGGTCCTGGGATCCCGCAGGACGACTACCTTCGCTCTGTGCCCCGTCGCAACGAACGAACCGGGCGCATAGACCCTCTCTTCGCGCGGACCCAACGGCACGACAACTCATGTCTCCTCCGGGCTGTGAGACTTTGGACGTCCCTGCCTGACGCCATCACCAGCTTGCCCATCACAGACAGAGACGAGGTGACACAGCTCTGCAAGGCAGCAGCCAAACACCTCTAAACGCCCACGAATGTCTTGCATACCTCATCATACGTCACCCACCTCACTTTTCACCCTCTTCACCATCCCAAAATCATCGTCCCACACTTCTCAAGCCAAGAAGCCTCGCATCGCCATCATTGTCTAGCTGGCCACATAGGCACATATGTGTACGGGCGGAAACGCCTTCTATGCGACCTGTACTTAAATGTACAAATAAATATCTATCTATCTATCTATCCATACACAAATCGGCAAAGTCGCGGTCTTTTTGTAGTTGACTTGGAGTACTATTACTGAGAAACTTTTATTAAAAAATGAACCCTAATAATATCTATGCCTCAATGTGTTAAACAAAATGTTTGATTTGTAAGATTTTTGTTTTTAACTACAGGACAAATTGATCTCCAAGTGACAACAATTAAAACCTGCATATCTTCAGGAGGCTGCTTGTTGAGATCCTGAAGGCTTGAATTAATCTTGACGCTTCTCGTATGACATTGCTGAGTGCGCACTAGCAGTACCCTTTTTGTCTGCTTTAAAAGCAAAAGCATAAAAACAAAGTTTGCATTAGACTGAAAATTAGTAATGGGACTAGTTGACTGGGTCCTATAGGGCCACTGACGCACCAAGCTTGATATTTTGTATCCTCGTAAACGACTGTATATTATTTCCGGGGATCCTCCTAAATATTACGGCTTGGGGAGAGCGTATTCGCAGAGAAAAACATTATTTCCAAAAAGCCAGATTTGATACTCCTGCCCGAATCACGGACGTGGTTGGCGTAGCAATGCACTCATTGACTTCTTGAATGGCTTCCAAGCGAAAGCTTTCTCTAACATTCATATATTTGTTTTAATTAATGATGGGAATTAAATGCGCTTTTATCTGTCAATTCGCGAATCGCACGCTTATTTCTCTGCAGGGTTGCACCTGTAATTTCTCCGAGGGCAGAAGACGCACCACTTTCTAGTTCGACTTTCAAGCATGTATACAATGAATATTCTTTTTTTTTTCTTCTTTAAATAGGCAGAGAGGGAAAAGAGAGGCGCAAGGGATAACCCGAAATTGTTGATCGATCGGCAATCGACCTTTCTTCCACTAAGCTTCTGCAAATGCGTGCGTACACATGCGTCGCTTGGCCTCGCCTTCGGCTGTCACCATTTTCGGAGGCCAAAGATCGGGTCGACCAGCATATTGAGCACCTATCTTTGCGCGTATTTTTTCTCTTTTAGACATTCTCGCTTGAGTATACCTTTGTATGGGGTATAAAAGGCAACGATGTTAATGTATTCTGACGGGCCAAGGAAAGTTGGGCTTCCCTTTATTTTAGTTCGAAGATAACACCCCAGACGGCGCTCGTTACTGAAAAAAATTCATTGCTTTCTCGAGTTCGAGAGCTTATCCCACACCGAGAGAAACAACACGGGTGACCCGTAATCAACTTCTGAGTGGGTCCTATTCCTCTCAACCCCTCCGGTACCAACGTTTTTAGATCAATCAGTTGACAAGCTCCTCGAAAGAGCAGCGTTTGAAACCGGTTCTTCTCTGTTGCCTGTCCTCGTGAATGTCGAGCGGATAGCGTTCCACGCGCCCCCAGTGTCGAAGAAGGCATCGATGGAGGCATCCAAGGGGGAGCTTCTCCGAACGGCGCTCTTTCTGCGCCAAGTTTAACGCAAACTTTATGTTTACCATAAAAACCACGATAGCAATGTTCCTTTCCACCGCAGGTAATGCGCATCCAACGTTCCACCGGTTCCGCCGCTTCTGTCCATAGGGTGGGTTGAAAGTGCACAGAGCACCACTGAGCGGACGCGCCACGAAACGGCACAATGCGTTCTAGGAAGCTTATAAACTGACTTTTATTCGTTACGTTGCACAGCACAGCCGCCAATCGCCACCATATCTAGTGTAAGAAAAACCATACGAAAACAAAAGACGGCCGATGCCTCCTCGCTAACTCTTCCGTGTTTTGGATTTTTGTATTTGCAAATAAGCAATGTTGTGCGTTTGCACTGGTCGTAAAAGACACGTTTGATGAATGATATCAACAATGGTCACACACATTCAACTGGGGATATCTCTAATTCTTTTAATGCCTTCTCATTTTACGTCATAAAAAACCGAGGTGGAGTCCGGATTGGAGAAGGACACAGAGCTCTGTTGGGCTCTTTCGCACTGGAAGGAAAGGTTTCTAATTAATGATGCGATGAATTCAGAGACGAGATTCAGGGGGTCATAAATTTGTATTAAAAAAAGTAACCTCGAAGAAAAATATCAAAAACTATAGGGATATTTACAACATAGTCTCGGGCTTGGTTCAGTCCGGCTAAGTTAAAAGTGTTGTGTCGATAGCGGCATCTTATACCGTCCGACGGGCTGATTTAGTGCGCTTCAACGGAGTGCACTTCCCTTTTAGCGTCACTTGCATAGTGTGCCACACGCCGTCTTCCTGAACAAAGTCGGCTGCAAGTGAGTTTGCTTCTTGTTCTTTTTCTTCGTCTTGCCTCGTGAGGATCAATCAGAGTCATCCACTCGGCGTAATTATTGTCAATTAACATAACATGTTTTCATATAAAAGAGATTAAATGTTGCCGAGGCATCAATGCCTTCGCTTCAACATTTTAGGTGTCTCATAGTATTTTACAATGTGTCGTTATTGTCATCGTTTTCAAGAGACACTAATTTATCCCGTGTTGCAGAAAACACTTGAGGTAACTTTCGGTGTGCTGAAGTGCACGTGGTAGAAGTGCACTAAATTATGCCGTCTGACAGGGGCATTAGTGGGGCACAATCCGATGAAGTTCCGTCAGAGCAGGGTATCAACAGAGATGAACCCTGGAACACCACAAGTTAGCGAGCTGCTGAATTGTTGTTTTCCTCTTGGTTCTTGAACCGAACGGAGGTCCTGTTGGTCGCCAACAACTTGTGACCGGGCAGTCACACCTCTGATACTGCTCTGCTGCCGCCTGGTTGTACTGCGACGTGGTAGCCCAGTTTCGCTTCTGTCCGTGAGTCCCAAGAACCCAAATTCAAATTAATTATTTCTCTCCACTCGAAGAAGGGAAACAGGAAAACAAGCAACTTGGTGTTGCTTTATAAGCCACAACAGCAGAGGACGAACAGAAATACACGCACAATATATATGTAACATTAATGAAAAAATTACTAACAAACAAAATATTAGCATCTAAAATAGCAAAAGAAAATAGGCAAGATCGTGCAATCACTTTAGGCTCTTAAAATGCAGAGACCTGACAAGAAAATCCTTTACCAAAAACAGAACGCATTTCTTTTCGAGTCCAACTCAACATGTTCACGTTGAATTCACTACACCAATTTAGAAAGCACGGTACTGTAGATCTCATCTTTTGAGGGCCACAATCAGTCCTGGAATGCGGTCATTGCTGCCCGCCGCTGGATGCTCGGAGAACACCGCATCGTTCCTCCGCTTTCTTCTGGAGCCTCTGGCTTTGTCCTGAGGGTTCCTCTCTGCCGGCGACTTGAAGCCCATTCCTGGATCAGGCCATTTATCGAAGCACCCAGGCCTGGATGTCGGTCGCTCCTCCCGCGAAGCCCTCCACCCTTTCCACTAATCAGACAGAGCACTAAAATGAGGCAAATTTCTCCTCGCCTCGCCTCCTCTCCCGCATTGGCTCTGGTAAAGCAGAAAGAGGAAAGGTATCGAGGGAGATAAAGTTGAGTTAAGTTGAGTAAGCAAAGTGCAGCCCTCTGCGAGGACACCCGCAGTGAACTCACGTGTTATGACTCCATGCCTCGAAGTCCTCCTTTGCACAAGTACGTGTGATACGAGGCACAGGAGAGCGCACCCCGCGGCGAACACACCGGAGTAGAAAAACATCCACCGGCCTCCAAATTCGGCGAATGTCGTCCCACCAACGAGGGTACCAAGCGACTTTCCTGGAACAAAAACATTTTTACTAAATTCAAAATGCATATTTTTCGCAAAAAAAAAAGAAAAAAAAAGAAAGTCACTTTGCGACATAGCTAGGATACTGTGCTTTCGGTAAAGACATATAAACCCGAAAATTACTTACCAAGCCAATTTCATAGAAAAAAAAAAACGCATTCTAAATATTGTTTACCTTATGAAGAAAAAGCTCAGTTCAAAGAAAAACTATTGTAACGAAGAAGATGAAGCTAAGCGTCTTCTTCACCTAAGGGCGCACGATAATGAGGTGAAACAAGCTGCATCCAACCCATCCGTTCAAAGCCTCCACCCAGTAGCTCAGCCTGTCAACGTCTGCGCAAGTTGCGATCCAGAGCACAATGACATCCGCACAGGTGGAGGACACAGGTCTTGGTATGGCCGGGAGATAATTGAGGCTTTCTCCAAGCCACAAGCCCTGGTCAACATTGGCTCCCCTTCTCACAGCCTCTTCGACACCGAGATATCGTATTTTGATATATAACTGCAGCCACGTATGTGGTTCAAAGCGGAATCTCCACGCGCGCCACTTCGGCGACAAAGACCCTTCCCAGTTATACCCTTTGTTCCTCTTTTTCTTTCGCTGTTTAGTCAGGCCTCCGCTGAGGCGATCAGCGTCCTCGAGGAACGTCAATAAATGTTCAAGCTGCCAGTTGGAAGGACGTTTCGTCCTGTCCTGGTCCTTTTAGCCGTTAATGTGACATTGCTTTAAACCCGTAACCTTAACCCGTAATCTTTACCTAATCTTTAATTTTTTTTTAATTTTTGATTTGCCGTTTGGTGAATATATTTTCCTTTGTCTATTGTACAAGTACATAATTTGTTGCCTCGGAACGCCTTCCATATACGTTTTTTTATAATATTGTTAATATTTTAGGCGTCTTAAGCTGTAAATTTCGTTGTCTTATTGCTATTTTCATATCTGCTTCAGCACCTGGCTCATAGTGAATTTTGAGCACATAACTATACTGCGAGTTTGTGTGTAATGCTTATTTATTTATGAAATTTTTCGTGGTGCTTCTATACTGTGGATGGGCCTACCGACATATCTACCTGCTTGGGATTGATGCAATGTGGAATAAATGTAAACACCCAGGGTTTAGATTATGATGTATTCTAAGCAGCTTCCCTGCATACTTTCGCTCCTTGCATGTTTCAGTGCCTCCTCTATACTTTCAGCGCTTGGCAGAACGGCCTCCCGAGGCTGTTGAGCAACCGCCCATGGCGACCGCGTGAGGGCGTTGTGTTAAGAGGGTCTGCCTAGATCGTCCAAGGGAGCAACTCAAACCATGGAGAACGTTAGCAATTGAATGGCGAACGCTTACTGGGAAAACGTCTCGCAGGTGAGCATGCCTTGCGTTGTCGTGTGTCGAAGGGAAAGCGGACGGAAATGACGTGACTTTGATCGAGCACTTGGGAACGCTCTCAAATTCAGGCAAACTAGACCGGGTCTCATCGTCTATTTTAGCCTATTTCGTCTTCGCCGTTCGACATGGTTTCGCAATATCGCGGTGAAGGTACACTGAAACGAAGTTCGTGATAACATATTGACGTATTAGTGTTGTACGGAACGACGTTCCAAGGAACAAAGTTCCTGGAACGCGTTCCTTTCAGGAGGAACGAAGGAACGCCGCCGTTCCATTTTGCATTGGTGGAACTGGAACGGGAATGCGTTCCATTTTTACGGGAACGGAAAAAGGAACGGCGTTCCTTTTTTTCGTCCAGTGGAGTAATTTGTATTTTATATCTGAAAGGGAAATTCTAAAAGTATAAAATCAATATTCATCTATACCAAAAGTAGGATTTCGTGAACTTTTTGGTTACATACCATATGGTTAATTTTGTGTGATACTCGCTTGGTAACAGTAAGGGACAGGAGAACTAGTGGACATCGATTCTTTTTTCAGTGCCCGTGACTGCGGTACAGAAAGCCAAAGTTTTACTCGTAGGAAAAGACACAGAAAGAAATACGTGTCAAACTCAACTAGTTTCTTTGCTTCCACGAATCCTTGTACACCCAGAAATCTAAGACCGACTGCAGCTATCACTGAACTTCCACAAATAGACGTACAGTTACAACAGAAGAGCAGGTTACCCGGTATCGAACGCACCCTTGTATCCTGAATATTGGTGACATACAATATACACAAAAATTAATTTTTATTTCTTCTGCCCTTGTTCCCTATCTTCAAACTGAGCAACGAGTCCAACCCTCACGTAGAAGGACCTGTACTTTTCAAGACTGACCTTCCAACAGCCCTACCTTCTTCACTTCCTCGTCTTGCGGACAGCAACATCGAGAAGCAACTGTTGTTATGTTCCAACAAGTGACTTTGTTAGATTGAAACGCGTGAGGTTGTGGTGAAACGCTCGTGCAATGTGGGGTAAGAGTACATTTGGCTCGTCGAAATCGCCTACCACAAAATATGGTTAAAACCTGAGATTTTTAAAGGTGAATATATCATCAAATGAAACACTGCTTCCGCTTGTCTTCTCCTCTTGGTGCCTTTCCATTACTGCATTCAATTTTGTATGTTGCCATTTGATGGGATAGATAAAAAACAACAAAAACTACTTTGTTTGATCTAATTGTATATGGTAATCGTCAAAATACAAATGTAACGTATATGTAACGACACGTTCCATTTCTTTAACTGTAATTGGAATGAGTTCCTTTTTCACATATGGAACTTGTAACGGGAACGCGTTCCAAACATCAGAAGGAACGAGGAACGAGCTTTTGTTCCATTTTTTGAGGAACGTGTGACGTATTTAGCGCACAAAGTAGAGGGAAGAAGAACAGGACGGAAAAGTGCGACACTCACAACTATGTCTAGTGACAAGAATCATTCGGTTTTTTTCTTTCTTTTTCTTTTCTTGTCAGCAAACATAGTTCTGAGTGGCGCTCTTTTCTGTTCTGTTTTTCTTCCGTCTACTTTGTGCGCTAAAAACCTCAATATGTTATACTATAAGAACTAGCCCAAATGTCAACTTGACTACATAAGTGCTACTAAAATGTATGCAATCTGAGTTTCAATTTTTTTTTGAGGAGGGGGGGGGGGGGTGGTGAAAGGCGGCGAAAAAAAAAATGCGCATGTTTTCAGTGAAAGGGCATAACATTGTAAAACTAAAAGTAAGAACGCAGAACGACATAATGTAGAGGGAATTGTTTGCAGCCATTACCGTGCGTGTACAGTTACTACAACAGTGGCAGCGGCGATTGCAACAACCTTGCTTCAGTGGCGCGCCTCGCGGCTAAAGGTTACACTTGCGGCAACTGCATCGGCGCACTGTTTTGCGACCATTTTAGCTGGCACTGCAGGTATATAAGAGGCACTGGTACTATAGGTATATAAACATGTTTGGCCATTGGGCGAATAATTATATCTGTAGTATTTCCACCTTTGTCTTCGTGTTAATAATGCGCATCAATATGGTTATAAGCATTTCTGAGGCACCCGTGCCTTCTGGAGCTTATTATGTTACTGGGCCAAGCCTATTATGTCCACGCCAGTGACTTCGTGATTGGTCCTTCGTCATCCTTATGTGCTAATGCCGTAATTTCACTGTAACCAAAGCGCCCTTTGCTCCTTAAAAATTAATACGTTACTGACTATGGCATACCTGAGTGGGCATCAAACTTACCGATGGCTCCTTCGCAAATGTTGAGGACGCACAAGACGGACGCCGCGGTACCTTCCGGCGCCACCTCTTTAGCGAACACAGTCATGGCGGGTGTTACAAGCGGATGTGCAGCCCCGGTGACGGGTTCGACGAGCAGCGCGAACCACGGGTTGTATAGAAAGGCAGAGCCAATGTACCTCACCCCGAAGATCAAGAATGTCAATATATACGAGGGATAATAGCGCGTTTTTTTCAGAATCCAACCGGACACAGAATAGAAGGGCACTTCTATGCATATGCAACTTACTGCGGATATTAAACCGATTATCAGTTTAGAGGCTCCTATGTCCTCCAAAAACCACGTGTTGTACGACATGTAGATTGAAAAAAGGGCTCCGAGGGCGCATGTCCAAAAGGCGAATACGGCAAGTTCGACATTGATGAACACACCATAGATGTCCTTGAAAAAGTTGACCGACAGCTTGGGCATCCGAAGAGTGGGCATGCAACAAAGAAGGACACTGTCCAAGATAATGAGCAGCGCATAGACGAAGTAGCTTGGAAGGTAACCTGATCGTCCTCCCGTCCATCGGTTGGCTGCATCAATTAAGGCTCCCACGACAGGACCAGCGGCTCCCATGCCTATTGCCCCTCCCGCTCGCTGCAATCCGAAGTCCCTCACATTTTCAGCCAGTATCTCAGAAACGCCGGCGTCCGAGATGATCAGAACAGCCCCCGAACACAACGACCCCAGCGCATGAAACACGGCATAGAACCACACAACTCGTTGATCTATCGAACCTGCTGTGCAAGGGCACTTGAACTGACAGGTGCTGCGGTGGTAACCAGACGTACCATTCCAAATAGTGTGGCAAACGGCGGAGGTGTTCTGAAAAATGTAGCTTACTTCGATTTCGCTGAATTCGGTGGCATTCGTTGCGCACGAAACGAAACACTTCTCCGGTGGTTGAAGGCACACTGAGAACGAATTCAAAAGCGTTACGTTTCCTTCTGGGCATGATACCTCCCCCTTTGGTTCTGCCGTTTTGATAATAAAGTCACTGAAATAGAGAAGGCCGTGGAAAAGAATCGCAAGCGATTGAAGTGTCAACAATATTCTTGTTACGTTTTGCGTCCGGTCAGCAATGTATCCCATCAAAATCTTCCACGGAATAGCGAGCAGAGATGTGACAGTTAAAATGTAGGCTATGGTTGCTTCAGGGATTCCGTTTCTCCGACCAATTGCAGACCCGTATGGCAGAGTGCAGCCGGTGGCTGATAAAGAAAAAAAGCAGAATTTCGTTAGCCTTTGCAGCAATGTTTTATTTACTATGACCAGAATTGTTAAAATTACAATATATATTGCACTTTACGCAGTCATATAATCTCAAACAAGTAGTTGAGGGCTTAGCAGCATGATATACAGTGATATAAAAGCAATCAATGGACCTTTTCCGAGAAGCGTTCTGCGCACGCGCGAGCGCCCGATGCCAAGCGGCGGAAGTCGGAACGAAAAATTGAGGAAAATCGGAAGGAGGCTGTGTATCAGCGATTAGAACACGTAACTGCAGCATATATATAATTGTGTTACACAAAAAAAGAACGTCGACGGAAAGGAAAACACGACGTTTGGGTGGACGTCACGGATGCACCTCTTTAAAGTCGCGTTGGGCAGGCGCCGCTGCTCAGAGAGCGAAGAAACTTGTAGCGTACACTCTAAAAAAAGTCTGTGCGTCTAGTTTCACGCACACCACTCGGAGAGCCAATCACCGCAACTTACGGAGGCATCTCAGCGAATGACGATGCCGAAACATATGCTTAGACCAAAAAACGAAATCTGGGTTGTGACATTAAGCAATGCAAGCGTGACATTTTGCATTGCTTAACGTCACAACTCAGACTGCGTTTTTTGGTCTTAACATATGTTTCCGCATCGTCATTCGCTGAGCTGCCTCTGTAAGTTGCGGTTTTTGGCTCTCCGAGTGTTGTGCGTGAAAGTAGACTTACAGACATTTTTTAGAGTGTAGCTCCCATTATCGATTGGTAGCGCAAGTAGGTCACTTCCTCGATTTTTAGTTCATGCAGCCACCGCCTGGTGCCGTCGGTATGTGGAAAAGGTCCATTCTGAGCAAATATAAAACATGTACCGTAGTATCCCGAGAGATAGTCCACCTGAAATAGAAAGCAAATCGGGTGAAAATAAGCAGTGGGCTAACTTTCGGTGTGCGACCAACGAAAGTTGGAAAATTCTGCTGTTTGAAATTGTGTCACCTTCAAAACTTCTAATTGCGAGAAATCAAAGACGACTGTACCTCTTAGTCAGGAACGGTCGCTGATCTCCTGTCACAGCTAAGTAGCACTGTTTCTGTAAAGGTCATTGTTGACCAGCGCCCTCCATTTCTAAAAATAATCTATCTTTCGGTGTTTTTTTTTTAAATACCAAGGCGTAGAAAGGATAGGGGTGGGCTATCTTTCGGGTGTGGGGTATCTCTCGGGACATTACGGTGTATTGCGAGATTCATTCCACCAGGACATGAATTTTAAACTGGTAGTACATACAGAAAGCCGAATTCCTCAATATTAAAAAAAATGCAAGTTGTGATTAACAATGCCTCTGTTGAAGCCCTTGTACTCACCTGCAAAAATGAGAAAATAATGAATCTTCAAATACAGAAGTCTTGTGTTTATCCATGGCAGCAGCATGTCGGATCTTAGCAGGGCGGATATATTCCTGCATTTAAACAACCATCTTGATAACACAACCCAGTGTAAGGTTTTTGTTTATGCACTTGGCCATTGGCTTCTCTTGAAATAAAGCACGAGAGCTTGAATAGCATAAAATAGTGTGCGTAATTTAGAATAACACGATATTATAAAATTATATGAATGTAACATTAAACGCAAAAAGATTACTTCAAATATAACAGACAACAGTGTTCTCACTGCCCTGGTTACAACATAAAAAAAAGATGTTACATCAATTGAGGAGCAACCGTAAAAAATTTGACGTGCCTACTTTGTTAAATCTATATATTTTTCATCGATGACAATGCTAGGACTCGTTATGACCATTACAATACGCGTGGTAGCTGGTTGATGGGCTTCGAGAGCGCTTCACTTAATAAGGCTTCTGTTATTCCACCACTCGTTTTTATTTTTGCTACCTATGCATAATTTGTTTATGGAGGACAATTTAGAGTGATTGAATTCTTAAAAAAATTCTATCCCGGGGCGGTGGAATGCAGTATGTTTTGGCGTTAAAGATTTTTATTGAAGATCACATGTAGTTAAAATTAATTGGGTTCAAGAGTTTATTGGAGCATACGGAATTGCGAAGTTCCAGAATTAAGTTGCCATTGTAATTCTTACGTTTCCATCTACCTAGGTTTTTCTCTATGCAAAGCAACCGATGCAGCCAATGCGTGTTTGTATTGGAAGTGAGTAATTAGAATCTTGCGAAGTGAGGTATAAAGAATCAAAGTAAGTTTGTTCTAAGACGCATATGATACAAGTGTTTCTTTTAGTGTTTGAATAGTGAACTGTCTTCCTCTCGTCTGAAGGAAAGTTTGTAAACAGTTGGTTTTCTAGAAAAAAAAAATGTTTGAGTTTTTTAAGAGTAGTGTGCCGGAGCTGAGTTTGATTAAGAAAGACCCTTTGAAGATTTACTAGTGTTTCTGCATGTGTAGATTTTTACCTCAGTTTTTATATCTTTTGTTGGTTCTAAGGACTAGCTGAGAGCAAATATCTGATTTGAGTCACTCAAAATATACTCTGAGGGATATTGTCTTTGCGCACCTAAGAATATCAGTAGGTAAATTTTACCGGAAAGAGTTAGCAGATAGTTTAAATTCTCAGGTGATTAAACAAGGGCTCATATTGCGGGAGGAGGGTGAACGGGCTGTTAAAGAAACTTCGGAGGAAAAAGGACGGGAATTGAGAGGCCATGCCCAGGTAACACAGCTTTCTGGGCCAAAACGTTTTATCTTAGAGTTTAAAGCCCTGAAAGCTCCAAAAAGCTAAGGTATAGCCAAACTCAGTGTCATTTCGCCAAAGTCTGGGTGTTTTGGACCTAAATTGTGAAACAGGGGCATGATTTAGGTTTCAGTGCCTGGTTCTTCGGTTGTCATCTGGCTTATTTGTGCCTCTGTTCCCGATAAAATTCCAGAATTAAACTCAATTCTGATCATTCCGGGTTTTCTCCTTAAAATTTTGGGCCTAAGTTAACAAACAAGTGCCGTAATTATGTTTCACTCCGGGTAGTTCTGATATGCAGTATTTTTGGCTAATGTCTGACAATTTAGCAACAACATGGCGGGCCACAGAAAACCGTACAAAAACCAGAGAAGAATACTTTGACCCTAGCTAACGTTTTGAAGCAAAACCTTAGTAGGCGAAAGCTGGGCACTAACACTGACAATCTTGGGACTATATTCCGTCCCACTAAACCCGCGCAGTACAGCAAAAGCTACACGGGACAGAGTGTATCCCAACCTGCTCAAAAAGAAGGAAAAGGAGAAACGGGAGAGAAGAGCTGAGATTCCCCTGTTCTTCCTTTCCCTTCTCTTGAACAGGTTGGAATGCACTGTGTCCCGTGTAGCTTTTGCAGTACTGCGCGGTTTTAGTGACACGGAATATAGTTAGGCGTTTTTTTTTTGCCTTGATGCCTGGGTGCATCCCAAGATTATACTAGAGATGATACCTTGTGCATCCCCTTGATACCTCCAAGCGCCTCAAATTTGTGATGATTATGTGGATGGCTGAGACATGGTAGAGTGCGAGATGGGGAAGGGTGTTATGTCAGTGTCTATACAAATGAGGTATTCACGCTTGGTGCCAGGAGCAAGAGATTCTTTATTTTCTAGCGCACGGACTTTAGGTCTGCGCGTGCAGGGTTGCTGGCATCAATATCTGATACAGAGGCCGGTCAAAAAAGGGTGTGTAAGAGTTTTTTTATTTTGTTTTGTTTTGTTTTGCTAGTGTATAAATAGTTTGACAGGGCGCTGTATAAATTAAAGAATCGGGTAAAAAACTCTGTCAGCGAATCGTCGCCCTCGGGCAATATGGAAGTGCATTGCAGCATATACAATTATGTACCAAAGCTTGACATCTTCATTATTTGACTCGGTTAAAGGACTAAAATATGAGAGAGGCTCGTAGACGTTCTTTATACTAATGTGTCAAGAAGGCATATGCTGCAGCGCTCCCTCCAAAACCTTCTCAGGGAGTATATTGCGAATCGTTTCAAGGGGAGTGAACTGCTGTAGATAATAGCCGTTTCTCAAGTCACATATCTTTTAGATCTCATGGTATGTTTGTTTATTTTGCTGGCAAACTGCAGTGTAAGGTTCGCTTTATGGGGTTCGTCATTCTTCCACTTTTCTGCCCATTTTTAACGCCTTTAAGATAGTCTTAGTAGGTCGTAGGCTGCACAGAGCGGGCCAAGCGGATGCGTGCTCTATCCAAGCTTCAAAGTGACGGCACGAGCTCCCGCTAGCAAAGCTTAGCTCTAAATAACGGCCCACTGAAGGTATTTATTGAACCTTCAAATCCGCTGTATCCCCCCCACCCAAACAGGTACTGACTTTCACTAATGCATACTCTAGCCCTCTGAATAAACCTGTTGCTCTCGGCCAGGTGGCGCCAGTGCGTTCTTAAGACCTGCATATGTAATGCCTGTAATACCTCAAAGGCCTCCTTTAAGGACGCATTACAGGAAGAGGTTATTTCGAAGAATACATTCGTACCAGCATGATCATACCACATGGAATTACCAAAGAACAAGATGCGAAATCAGGCTAACACGTTACACAGAACTTATTACTAACTTAAACGAAAAAGAAAATATCGAGGAAAATAAAACATACGAAGTTATTTACACGCTCTTCTGGGGATACAGACGCTCTCACATTTCTTTAAATTACCCACGATTTGTGTTAGTAATCATTTAGTGTGGCAAGTCATTCCATGTGGCAATCGATAGCATGAGGGGAGAAAACCGAAAATAATTAGTGTTAGAGCGGAATCGCTGAAGTTTATATGAATTATCCCTTCGAGGAGAAATATAATCCGCAGAATGCAGAATGGCAATTAATGTTTTTGAAGTATGAGCTAACTCTAGTACATAGCATGGAAGAAACAGATTCGGTTGTCTGCGCGCCTGTTGGATAATAAGGAAAGACCAAGACTGAATTTTAAAGCGGAGACACTATTTTCAGGCCAGACACAGGTTCCAGGGGCCAGACATAGGTTCCGCCTTAAGAACACCTAGTGATTTTAGTAAGCCGTTGACTATGCTGTGGACTTGTTGGTTCACTGCTAATGTTTCTGAAAAATGAACACAACCCAGGTAGCAGACGGTATTGGGCCGGATTTCATGGTGCAAAGAATGGCTCAACAATGGCCCAACTGAGGCATATGTTTCCGAATATTGGAATCACATTGGCCAATAATGGACTGAGCTGGCATAAGCTGTCAAAAATCGGACTGTCAAAGCCAATAGCTTTTCAATATTGAAGTGTTTGAGCCAATGGATCTCCAATATTACATATACGCCGTCATAACCTCTAATATATTGAACTGTCAGAGCCAATGACTTTCTGTTACGGAATATATGCTTTCCTAAGTTAGTTAATACTAAACCATGGAATGTTCTTTCGACGACTTAATGATGCTTTATGCCACCAAAGCCATAGATCCCCGACCTTTTAATCTGCATTAGCCGGCTATAGAGGCATGTAAGTGTCTCGAGCTATAGACTCGCAACCATCCTATCCTTTTTTTAGCCGTCTCAATTGTGTTTTATATCGCCTAGGTCAGTGGTCTCAAACACATTCGAGTGTGGGGGACAGATGGCCTACACTGGAAAGGTCGAGGGCCAACGTGAGATGGAGGGATGGGAGGCGGGGGGGGGGGGGGGGGTGTTCAAAAGATTTTGAAGAGAAGAAACCGCGTGCTCAAGGCTTTTTCTAATCTCACAGGTTTTTCCGCTCACATCGTTAAAGTTGCTTTGTTCATATGACTACTTTGAGCCCTGACCTAATGTGATAACAAGAAGTAAAATTGCATACCCCACCAACGTGCGAGCATTTTAATAGAACAATAAAGTGAGTACGCTGTCGTCTCTGTTGCTAAATTCACTCAGGAAATAGCCAAGCTCAACATGTATCTAAGATACAGTTAATTTGACAGTTCTTGCTTTCCTGACGTTTTTGATTACAACACTCTAAACAAATACTTTTCTCTAAATGGCGATATTCTTTTAAGGCAAGAATCCCGAGCTCGTAAAGCTTTATTTTCGGCAGTTGCTCCTGCTGATCGAGAGTTCGCACAGCCGAGATGCATTATTCAAAGAAAACCTCGTGCTTGCAGCCTAATAGCGAAATCGTTGTGCATTACAGAAAGCTGGAAAGCAAAAAATAAAACCAAAAACAAATGGCAAGTTACCACAGATAATTATGAACTCTGTGAATACGTTAAAACAGCGTATCTACTTTTTAAGCGAAAATGAATCGATGAGGGGAGATTACTATGGCGCAGTGTTGGAACTAACGCGTTACAAGTAACGCCGTTACTGGTAACGCGTTCGTTTTTTAGTAACGTACTAACGTACTCGTTAGAATCCCAAATGAGTAACAAGTAAAGTAATATCGTTATTATTTTACGGTATCTGCTATCAAATTACGTTACCCGTTACTTGTTACTTT